CACTCATCCAACCAACCAACCATTCATCCATTCATCTAATCAATCGTGTGTGTGTGTGTGTGTGTGTGTGTGTGTGTGTGTGTGTGTGTGTGTGTGTGTGTGTGTGTGTGTGTGTGTGTGTGTTGCAGGTGCCTTTTGCCACCAGTATCTACGGTCTGATTGGACCGAACGGAGGTCTAGGCTTCGCGATAGGTGACACACACACTCATGACATCACTGAATCTTAATTAATGAAAGTGTTAATTGGTAAAACGATGATTGATTATTCGTCGTCACAGCTCATGTGACTCCTGACTGATGATGTGATTGATCTGTAGGAATGGTCGACTCCTCCATGATGGCCATCATGGGTTACCTGGTCGACATCCGCCACGCCTCCGTGTACGGCAGCGTCTACGCCATCGCTGATGTGGCGCTGTGTATGGGCTTCGCTATTGGTAACACACACATGCACACACACACACACGTGCACACACTCTCTAATACATTTCAAAGCTAAATATCGTTTTAATCCTACAGTTTATAAAGTTTGTAAAGTTACTTCCACCAGCAACAACATTAAAATGCTGTTTACATGTTAATGCGTCAATAATAATTCAGTATGAATTCATATATTTTTATTTGCCTCATTATTTATTTATTTATTTAGAAGTATTTGACATGTGCAAGTGCATTTTGAAAAGTGTAATTTTAAAACTCATATCTTGCATATTTTTATTTTTATATTCCATTTTTATATTATTATATATTATATTTTTACTTATATATCTATATTATAGTATATACAGTATAAGGACATATATTTATGTCTCTATTTATTTTATATTTTTTTATTTTTTTATTTCCAATCATCATCTTTATAATCCACTTCACTTGGCGAAGGAGCAACTGTAACTGGCACCTCTTTTCCCCTGGGGATCAATAAAGTTTCTGGTTCTGGTTCTGGTTCTGGTTCTGATTCTGGTTTTGATTCTGGTTCTGGTTCTGATTCTGGTCCGGGTTCTGATTCTGGTTCTGATTCTGGTTCTGGTCCTGGTTTTGATTCTGGTTCTGGTTCTGATTCTGGTTTTGATTCTGGTTCTGGTTCTGATTCTGATTCTGGTTCCGGTTCTGGTTCTGAATCTGATTCTGGTTTTGATTCTGGTTCTGGTTTTGGTTCTGATTCTGATTCTGGTTCCGGTTCTGGTTCTGATTCTGATTCTGATTCTGATTCTGGTTCCGGTTCCGGTTCTGGTTCTGATTCTGATTCTGATTCTGATTCCGGTTCTGGTTCTGGTTCTGAATCTGATTCTGGTTTTGATTCTGGTTCTGGTTTTGATTCTGGTTCTGGTTTTGGTTCTGGTTCTGGTTCTGCTTTTGGTTTTGATTCTGGTTTTGATTCTGGTTCTGGTTCTGATTCTGGTCCGGGTTCTGATTCTGGTTCTGATTCTGGTTCTGGTCCTGGTTCCGGTTCTGATTCTGGTTTTGGTTCTGGTTCTGGTTCTGGTTCTGGTTCTGATTCTGATTCTGGTTCTGATTCTGGTTCTGGTCCTGGTTCCGGTTCTGATTCTGGTTTTGGTTCTGGTTCTGGTTCTGGTTCTGGTTCTGATTCTGATTCTGGTTCTGATTCTGGTTCTGGTCCTGGTTCCGGTTCTGATTCTGGTTTTGGTTCTGGTTCTGGTTCTGGTTCTGGTTCTGATTCTGATTCTGGTTCTGGTTCCGGTTCTGGTTCTGGTTCTGGTTCTGCTTCTGGTTTTGATTCTGGTTTTGATTCTGGTTCTGGTTCTGATTCTGGTTTTGATTCTGATTCTGGTTCTGGTTCTGGTTCTGATTTTGGTTCTGATTCTGATTCTGGTTCTGGTTCCGGTTCTGGTTCTGATTCTGATTCTGGTTCTGATTCTGGTTCTGGTTCTGGTTCTGGTTCTGATTCTGGTTCTGATTCTGGTTCTGGTTCTGATTCTGGTTTTGATTCTGATTCTGATTCTGGTTCTGGTTCCGGTTCTGGTTCTGATTCTGATTCTGGTTCTGATTCTGGTTCTGGTTCTGGTTCTGGTTCTGATTCTGGTTCTGATTCTGGTTTTGATTCTGGTTCTGATTCTGATTCTGGTTCTGATTCTGGTTCTGATTCTGATTCTGGTTCTGGTTTTGGTTCTGGTTCTGGTTCTGCTTTTGGTTTTGATTCTGGTTTTGATTCTGGTTCTGGTTCCGATTCTGGTTTTGATTCTGGTTCTGGTTCTGATTCTGGTTTTGATTCTGATTCTGATTCTGGTTCTGGTTCCGGTTCTGGTTCTGGTTCTGGTTCTGAGGTTACTGGCCTGTGACGTGTTCCTTTACTTGCTCTCAGTAGGTTTTGCTGATGATGCTGATGCAGTTTGATGCAGGACTTTCATTTGTAATTCGATGTTTTTACACTGAATTCAAGCAGATGTTGAAGAACTGATGTGAAAAACATCTGCTCTTATTATTTGTTAAAAATTATAACAAAAAAAATGTAACTAATGTGACGTGGATATAAAAGATGATGAGCGCTCTGAATCCGTGGTGTTCATGAATGAGATGATTAATGACGTTAAACCTTGGTCTGTTGTTGCAGGACCGTCCACAGGGGGCGCTCTGGTGCAGGCGGTGGGTTTCCCTTGTCTCATGGTGTTCATCGGGGTCATCAACATCCTGTACGCGCCGCTCTGCTTCCTGTTGCGTAACCCTGCGGTCCGAGAGGAGAAAATGGTAACTGGTCACACCGTTGTTGTTGTTGTTGTTGTTGTTACTACCGACCAATCAGATCACTGGAAAAACTGAGTCATCATTCCTACAGGATCCTGACGGGGACAAAAGAATAAAGAGCAGTAGATATTTCAGTGGGAGAGTTTATCTCTGAATAAAATATAATAACTATCAGCTTCATTTGATTCTTCATGGAGGATTCCTGACAGTGATGAAGCTTTTACTCTCCTCTTCCTCTCCTCCTCTTCCTCTCCTCTTCTTGCTCTCTTTCCTTCCTCCCTTTCCTTCCCCTCTTTCCTTCCCCTCTTTCCTTCCTCTCCTCTTTCCTTCCTCTCCTCTTTCCTTCCTCCCTTTCCTTCCCCTCTTTCCTTCCCCTCTTTCCTTCCTCTCCTCTTTCCTTCCTCTCCTCTTTCCTTCCCCTCTTTCCTTCCCCTCTTTCCTTCCCCTCTTTCCTTCCTCTCTTTCCTTCCTCTCTTTTCTTCCTCTCCTCTTTCCTTCCTCTCTTTCCTTCCTCTCTTTTCTTCCTCTCCTCTTTCCTTCCTCTCCTCTTTCCTTCCCCTCTTTCCTTCCTCTCTTTCCTTCCTCTCTTTCCTTCGTGATGATAATTCATGATCTTATTAATAATATATTCTTAGTGTGACTTTAATAGAAATGATATTTAGACATGGAAACGTCTCTATGTTTATGTCTATATGTCTAAATGTTTTGTTCCAGTCATGTGATCGTGTTGTTACATTCACCTGTTGAGTGTCACTGTTGGACGCTGTTATAACTGAACTCACCTGCAGGTGTCAGCGTTTCTTCTCATATTAAGAACTTCATTCATGGTTCAGACGATGCTGCTTATAATTAAAACTCAGGACATGAAATCAGGACGGTCAGTGTCAGTTAACCCAGATCACTAACGGCTGCTTCATAGTTCAGACCTCTGATCACATCACACACAACAACAAGATATCTGTCATGACTTTAACAAGGAGAATTATTCAAATCAGGGCACACACACACACACACACACACACACACACACACACACACACACACACACACACACACACATACACTCTGTGTGTAGTGGCAGGTCCTGGCAGATCAACAGGATGTGTGTGTGTCTGTGATGTTTGTGTGAAGTCATTACACAGTGATTAGACTGATCACAGATCAGAAGCTTCTGCCTTCAAAGTGAAGAGGAAACATTTCCACTCAATAAACCCCTAATCACACACAGAGTTATTGATCAACTGTGTGTGTGTGTGTGTGTGTGTGTGTGTGTGTGTGTGTGTGTGTGTGTGTGTGTGTGTGTGTGTGTGTGTGTGTGTGTGTGTTGTGTGTGTGTGTGTGTGTGTGTGTGTGTGTGTGTTGCAGGCGATCATCGACCAGGAGTGTGTGATGCACAGGAAAAGCTACAACACACAGAAGGAGAGTCGTGAGTTTCCTCTGAGCGACTACAGTGAAGAAGAAGAGACGGAGGAGTGACACATATACACACACACACACACACCTGTCTATGTTGTTGATGTAGTCTCCATGTTTCACCTTCATCATCAGACTTCCTGTCGTCACAGTCAGAACCAGAACAGACGCCGGACATTTCTTAAAGGGACAGTGTCTTTAATTTCTTGTGCAGGAGGAACCGGCTCCACTGGTTCCTGCTGGAAACGTCTCATTCATTCTCCTCATAGACATGAACATCAACACGAAACTCTCCAGGTTCAATGGGCCTCATTCACCAATATCGTCTTAAGTATTTTCTTAAATTCTTTCTTAAGAAAGTTCTTAAGAAAGCTCTACGTCAGATTCACGAACGTGTTCTTAAACCACAGAACTGTGTGCACCTGTGTTCTTAGCCTGATGAATGCCACTCTCCTGGTAAATTGAACGTGTGCGCCAGTTGGCCCTAATTAGCATCGGTAACGCCCAAAGATGCCCTTAAAAGGGCGTGAGACTGAAGGGTCGTGTGCAGACACAGACAGAACTCACAAAGAGATACCGTGAGGGAAAGCTGAGAAAATGCCAAAATGAAAATCTAAAGACGGAGAACCGGAATCAAAACGCAAAAGGAACTTGAGTCGTTCTGAAGTGGAGGAACTGCTGCAGGAAGTGAGTCGCTAACGAGCAGTTCAGTGTTAATGTAGCGTTCATTCATTTTAAACATAATGCTTTGTAAAATAACAACAGTTATTATACATGACAAAAATATTATTGTAATTTAAATAATATAATATTATATAACTGAGGAACAGAAGAAAACACAATAACCGCTTATTTTGCTCAAACATGTCAGCACTCAAATGTGTGTAAGAGAGCTCTTGAGTGTTTATAGATTTCCTTTCTCACTTAAGAACAAATCTTAGGTTTTAATTTCTTCTTAAGAATGGTTGGTGAATGAGGCCCAGTCATCTCAACAAACTGCGTCACAAGAGATCTGCTGCTCTGAGGAAAAGTCAAAGGTACAAGTGTGAATGCATCACAAGCCGACAGGGCACAAAGGGCTTCACCTCCAACATGTGACTGAAGGGGAAACAAAACAACCACAAAGACACAAAACAACCACGAAGAGACTGGAAGAAGTACAGAAACATAAAACAGCTACAATGAGACACAATACAACTGCAGAGCAAAACAATTACAGAGATACAAAACTACAAAGAGATGCAAAATGACTAAAAAGACACATTTAAGGACCACAGCGAGACGATAAATTGCTACAGAGACACAAAACGACCACAAAGACACCAAAACATCTACACATAGTTTTGCGTCTCTCAGTGGGGGTGTGTTGCTCCTGTGTATGAAGGGTGGGGGGCCTTTTACATGTCTGTGCCCAAGGGCTCGTTATCTTTAAATAGGTACAAGCTTGTATACATACAAAAGTCGGGGGAGACGTTAACTACAACTCCCATGATACATTTCAGTGAGAAACCAACCAATCAAATCACTGAGCTTAGAATGCGGTGAGCGGGAAGTTAAAGATGACGCTGAATTCAGTAACCATGGCAACATGTGTTAATGACGAAGGTGTTTTGACTTTGTTACCGCTCTGATTCACACCTCTGACCTGGCTTCTTCTCCATAGCAACAGTGACTGAGGCTCATGGGTATTGTAGTATTTACAGCTGTAAATAAAATGACTTGAGTTCTCAGACACAAATCATTATCAGTTTGTGACATCACTAACAGCTGTGCAGACGCACAACAGCCATTTTCACATCTAGAAAATACAGAGAATTATTATGGGATTTCTAGTCTACATGAACATATAGTGGATAAATTTACATACTCAGAAATCAGGCACTCAAAAATAAACAGTAACTCTACTTTACTCTACATCACATAATAAACGGAGTGATTTTTGACACGCTCTGTAATAAACGTGATTATTGATTCATGGAGGTTGTATATTAAGGGGTTCTTGATGCCTTGTGTGCAAGTTTACAGAGTATTATTATTAATGTGAATACATTTATGCAATTCCAATTAACAGATGCCATGACTGACTTTAATTTTTCCGTCTGTCTCAGATGAAAACAAAAAAAACCTGCAAAAGTGTCCGAAGTATAATATTTGAGGGCTAAATGCTATGCTAGCTCAGCACCGTGTGGTGATGCAGACAAAACTGAGGCGAAAACTAAAATGTCCCACGTTCCAAAAATCATCATCCTCGCCAAGAAACAGCATAGTTCTTGTATTGTAGGACAGCGTTGCTAATGTTAGCCTGAACTCTGACGTAGGACCGTGGACGTGCTCAATGAGGCTTTTTTAGCTAGCTGGTGAAATGCTAACACAGCCTTGAAGGACGGTAACCAGGTGTACATCTGCCAAAACAACCTGTTCCCTCCTAAAGCCTGAAACTGCTGTTTGAAAACACACAAACACAAAAATAAGTCGTAACAGAAGAAAAACAAACAGTGACACCTGCTGATTTAGCAAATTGTCATTTGGGCTGAACTTGGTGTTTCCAGGGACTTATATTTTTTTGTAAATTTAAAAAAAATGTCCTTTAGCCTCTTAACTTTCATATTTCAGCTAAAACACTGAATCATTGGCGTTGGGATGAAGGTTAGTTTTTAGTCTTGTTATTATGTCAGAAAGTAAACACTTATGATTTCAGGTGAAAAATACAAAAATAATTTGTCTCCTTCTTGATGTTTAAATCCCTTAATTATTTTAAGGGAGTTTGTCTTTAATTAAAGAGATTTCTGTGTGACTGTGAATTTATTTTAAGGAACACATTCTTTCATCTTCATCAATTCTTCTTCAGTATGAAACCAAAGTGTTGAGATGTGAAACTGTACCTAACTCTGTATCTGACCTCTGACCTGTGTCGCAATTAAAACCTGCTGTAAACTGACTGCACCTGTTTACCTGTGAGTGTGTTTGCACCTGTCCTCGCCATGTTAACCTGAGGAGTGTCAGATTGAGTGTGTGTGTGTGTGTGTGTGTGTGTGTGTGTGTGTGTGTGTGTGTGTTCACATGCTTCTTATCTGCTCTTTAATTTCCGGTGACAGCTCGTTTGTGCGACACAGGAAAGGACAGGAGAGGCAGGAGCTCCATCAGATGGAAAAGTAAACAGGAAGTGGATGAAAAGCTTTTCTTTAATAAAGAATCATTTCACAGTGACCACAGACTCTCATATTATTAGCATTAGCTCTGGTGCAACAATAGAAACCTTGTGACATCACAGAGGATGAATCATGATCTTTCTGTAAATCAGATGACGTTTGTTTGTCAGTTTATTTATTAATTTCTAAATGACTCAGTCACAAAACCAACTCTTAGCCCCAAGCTAACCTTGAGCTAACATCAACGAGGTGACACCTACCTGAGCTAAATTAAACTCTGAGCTAACTTAAGGCATGAGCTAACTTAATACCTGAGCTAATATTAAGCTATTCAAAACTCTGAACTAACTTAATCCCTAAACTAAAATGACTGACTCAGCCTGAACCCCTTAAAATTAGCCTCCAGCTAACAGTTAATGCACTAGCTGGAGGCTAATGTTAACCTAAACCCACAGCTATTCTTTTTTTTTTTCTGGCTTTTTGTGCCTTTATTTTGATAGTGCAGTAGAGCGAGACAGGAAATGGGGATGCAGAGAGAGGGGGAATGACATGCAGCTAAGGGCTGTCCGATGTGGGACTCGAGCCGGGGCCGACTGCAGCAAAGACTGTAGCCTCTACACATGGGGCGGATCCTCATCCAACTGAGCTACTTGACACCCCGCCACACCTATTCTAAACCTTGAGCTAATCTAAATCTCTAGCTAACCAAAACCCTGGACTAGTCTGAGCCCTGAGTTAATAGCAACCCTGAACTAACCTAAACCTTAAACAAACATAAACCATGAGTTACACTAAGATTCTCAGCTAACCTAAACTCCAAGCTAACCTGAAAACCTAGCTAAAGTATGAGCCCTGAGATAAAAACCCTTAACTTGGACCTTGAGCTAATGATAAATAAATTGATTTATTGGGAGTTTGCCTTTATTAGACTACTGTATATATGAGCACAGAGAGGAGGGGTGAAGCAAAGATAAACTGAAACCAGCTCCAGAGTAGCAAAATTATTGTGACTAATACTTGGGCCACAAACTGTGTTTCCTCTGGCTCAATAGTGGCCCAAGTCTGACCCAACATCACTGTCAGATGCTACTTCCACATCTGGACCAATTCTGCTGCACACAGAAATTCATCTGTTTGTCAGTTAACACTGGAGGATAACAGCTGCAATCAGTCCAGATGTGGAAGTATATGGGCCACACTTGGACAGAGGAACTAGGAATATGTTTCATTTACTTTTATACTGACATCATACCAGCAACATCAACTTGAAACCTTTTACAATAGTTTCAATATCTAGTATGAATCTGAATCTGACACAGATGTTATAAAGGTAGAGCTGCAGTGTTAGCGCCACAGCAGCAGTTCACACATCCGCAACACAGGCAGTGTGTCCCAGACGTAACTTCAACTTCATCACTCAGTCATTGACATTTGTGTTTCTAAGCCTCACTGTTGCGGAGAGTGGAAAAGAAAAGAGTTTGTTCACCAGGCACCACACAGATGTTTAGATGCTAATGGGAGCTAGCTGCTAATGGAAGCTAGCTAATGTTCAGGCACAGAAAACAAAACTCAACTTGAATTTGATCAAATAAATTATTTGATATAATCGTTGTTTTGTGTGTGTGTGTGTGTGTGTGTGTGTGTGTGTGTGTGTGTGTGTGTGTTGACAGCAGATCACAGCAGCTTCAGCTTGTACACACAAACAGCTTCAAAACGTTTCCTCCTGCTTTGAAACATGAATAAACCCACTCTCAGTGGATACCATGCTAATCTGAGTGTGTGCAGTCATCAAAGCTGTTTAACCCTTTGTGTTTCAGCTCTGATCTACTCATGTCTGTGTAAACAGGTCGGAAACAGTTCAGTCTGTAACTCTGGATCTCTGAGGCTGATTTATGGAAAATAAGAAGGGGGAAAAATCTCTGTCTAAATATGTATATTGACTTTTAATCTGCCACTAATATCACCACAAACACCTCTGCAGTCTGTCTGATGTTTGTCGGTCACATTTACACTTTGATATTCCACAGATTCTTTGATCTGTGCAACACGTATGAACACGTTATGTGTTGTGTATGAACCCGGAGCTGGAGCTGTGTTTGTTCAGCCTCTAAACGGATGACCTCATCATGTTTTTTACGTTTTAATGACACAAGACTGTAGGTCTGACTACCTGTATTCAAAAACACAAATTCTTCACTTTCAACTTCTTCCCAACTCAAGGTCCACTAACCTTTTTCGTAATCATTAAGAAAGAACCGTCTCAGTAACTCATGTAAACCTCTGTTGTCTGTCTCTCAGTCCTCTTTATTTATTTATAGCCTTGTTTTTAAACTTTATTAGCTCTACCATGGAGGTAAGGTTTTACCCATGTCTGTTTATTTGTCAGCAGGATTACACAGAAAGTCCTGAGCCAATCTGTACCTGAACTCATGGTCAGGGAAGAAGCCATTAAATCTTGGTTCAGATCTGGATCATTTACCTTGAACATGATTTTTTTTTCAGAAGTCTGGTGTCATACATATACATATATATACAGGTATATATATATATACGTGTGTGTGTGTTTGTGTGTGTGTATTATATAGCCTAGACACACACACACACACACACACACACTGGGTTCCAAAAGTCAGACTTTACAATTAAAGTGGTATATTTATATATTAAACTCAATAGTCACTCTGTAATAGATTTTTTGTAAAATTACTTTTACAATTCAATATGAAGCTTGAATCCTTAAGACAAAACAACAATAGTAAAATATTAAAATATAAAAATGATAAAATGTAAATAGCGTTTTTATTATAATATTTAATCGGTTTTACATGTGTATTCACATTTCTATCGTCCGTGACACTGCAGACGTTTGTGACGTTTGACCTTAATAGGAACCTTTCTGAGTGTAGGAACGTTTCATTCGGAGCTTTTACCGAGCCGGGTATATTCTGCGAACACGCCGTCCGTCCCGGTAAAGTGTCCGGAGTTTTCTGTCTCTATGCCGCTAAATTCAGGAGCGTTTTTATTTTAAACTAAATAAAATCTGTTCGTTTCTTCGCGTCGATGAAAGAACAAAGAGAAGCGGCGGGTTCCAGGTCAGTTTTCACTTCCGGTTTCCTAAAGAGACTCTGAACAAACCGACAAACCGCCATTATATATAAATATAAACATGGCGTGAGTGAGTCGAAGCAGACATTAAGCTAAAGGAGCTGGTTTCCTTTCACAACAGTTTATTACTCCAGCAGAATACTGAGCGGGAAACAGTGGGGGCGTTACGTGAAGAGACAAACATTTAAAAAACATTTTTCTCTTCTTTATCTTGAGCAACATGTTTCTATATTTTATTATTGAGCTTTTACTTTGATACTTTGTTCTTGATGAAAATAATGAAATAGTGATTATTTCCTTTTATCCTTTTTTTCTAAACATTTCTCACCGTTCATCCTTTCTTCTTTTTTCCTATCGTCTCCTCCTTCCCTCCTCTCTCCTTTCCTCCCTCATCTCCTTATTCATCCCTTCTTTCCTCCTTCCTTCCCCTCTTTTCTTTTTCTTCTTTTTCTCTTTCCTTCATCATCTCCTTTTTTCTTCTCTATTCATCCCTCTGACTGTTGTCTCCTCTTTCCCTCCTCCTTTCCTCCATCATTTTCTCCTCTGTTCATCCCTTCTTTCCTCCTTTCTTCCCTCCATCCTTCCTTTCTACAGGATGGAGCTTTCATCTTTGCTTCATGACCTTCATCTCTTGTCCTCAGAGAAGCCCCTCCCCTCTCCTCCTCTCCCTCCAATCACAGAGCTCCTGTCTCGGCTGCAGGAGAAGCTGATTGGTGCGTCCTCAGACTCTGAGACAAACTCCCTGATTGGTCACATGGAGCGGCTCTTTCAGACAGCTGATCCTGATTGGCTCTTCTCACCGGCTTCGGCCAATGAGGAGGAGGGTTGGGCGGAGCTTCAGTCAGCGTACAGGTCTCTGACAGAAGCTGTGATTGGCTGTGCAGCTCTGCCGCTCTGTGAGGACAACGTCAGCTCTGTGATGGCTGCAGCCTATCAGAGCGTCCCGGGCCGAGCCGTCCGGGCATGCTCTGCTCTCAGGGTGCTGCTAGGAGCTCTGGGAAACTTGGAGAGGACCGATCTGCTGCTGACGGTGGCTCCACCTGTGTGTGTGTTCGCCGTGACACACTTCCAGGTGAGTGTGGTGGGAAAACGTCTGGCTCAGACCTGAGCAGAAGTCTTTAAAATGTCTGGAGGTCAGTCTATCGCTCTGTGTCCAGGATCAGCCGTGGACCTCCTCCTCCTCCAGGGCAGCGGCACGGAGCCTGCAGGAGGCGCTGCTGAGGGCTGGGGGCTGGTCAGACTCCGCCCACCTCCTGATGGGGGACAGGAGTCCGGGGGAGGAGGGGCGGAGCAGAGCAATCGTGGGAGGAGTACTGGACGTCCTGCAGCCTCAACTCACCAAGTGAGAGTCTGCTGTGACGGGTCTTTTAATTTGAAGGAATTGGGTCTGTGTGTGAACCGTGGATTTAACTGTGTGTGTGTGTGTGTGTGTGTGTGTGTGTGTGCGTGTGTTTTGCAGGGACTCGTGGCAGCGTTGTGAGGCGGTGAAGCTGGTGTTTGCATGGACACTCCTGCAGGTCAGTCTGACTGTATCATGTCAATAAACACGAGGTTTCCATGGCAGCACAATAAATTCCACAGGTTCAGAGATTCACATTCAGCTGCTCTCTCTCTCTCTCTCTCTCTCTCTCTCTCTCTCTCTCTCTCTCTCTCTCTCTCTCTCTCTCTCTCTCTCTCTCTCTCTCTCTCTCTCTCTCTCTCTCTCTCTCTCTCTCTCTCTCTCTCTCTCTCTCTCTCTCTCTCTCTCTCTCTCTCTCTCTCTCTCTCTCTCTCTCTCTCTCTCTCTCTCTCTCTCTCTCTCTCTCTCTCTCTCTCTCTCTCTCTCTCTCTCTCTCTCTCTCTCTCTCTCTCTCTCTCTCTCTCTCTCTCTCTCTCTCTCTCTCTCTCTCTCTCTCTCTCTCTCTCTCTCTCTCTCTCTCTCTCTCTCTCTCTCTCTCTCTCTCTCTCTCTCTCTCTCTCTCTCTCTCTCTCTCTCTCTCTCTCTCTCTCTCTCTCTCTCTCTCTCTCTCTCTCTCTCTCTCTCTGTCTCTCTCTCTCTCTCTGTGTGTCTGTGTGTTCATGTTTTGTGCAGGTGACTCGTCCTTCTCTCTCCCCTTACCTGCCTTGCCTCCTCCCCCCCTCCCTCCTCCTCAATGACCACTACAGACCAGAGAACTGCATGCTGGGAGTTCGCTGTCTGCACCATATTGTACTCAACACAGTAAGAACACACATGCACGCACGCACTTATTTTCCTTTATTCAACCAGTACACACAAAGAAATATCTTTGTTTTCATAATAATGATGATGGTGTGTGTGTGTGTGTGTGTGTGTGTGTGTGTGTGTGTGTGTGTGTGTGTGTGTGTGTGTGTGTGTGTGTTTTATCAGCCTGCTGCTGATCTCCGTCAGTTCAACAGAGCAGAAGTTCTCTATCAAGCGTTATTCAAACACCTGTACACCACAGAGGCTGCTGTCATACAGGTAACACACACACACACACACACACACACACACACACACACACACACTCTGACATGATTCATGGGAGAGAGGAAGAAACTGATGTGGATTCAGTTTCAGGACTGTTCTCTTATTGCTCATTGATCAGTTATTGAAATGAAACTAATTCACACTGATGTTGTAAAAACATGTGGACTGATGTGGACTGATGTGGACCTGCTCCTCCCTGGTCCCTGCAGCTGGTCCTGTCCTGTCTGTTGGACCTGCTGTTGGTGCTGGAGAAGCCCCCCTCCTCACTCGCCCCCTCCTCCGCCCGCAGGAAGCCCTGTCGCCATGACAACGTGCTGTGTCTGGTCCTGACCCACATGGAGGCGGAGCACAAGGTGCCGCTGCGACACGTCTACGCCTCCGCCCTCCCTCTGTACATCGACAGGTCAGTTTGATGTGTGTCTACGTTCAGTCTCAGCCTCGTCAAAATAAAAGTCTGACAGTTTCAGTTTTGTCAAAATAAAAGTCTGAAAGTCTGACAGTTTTGGTTTCTTCAAAATAAAAGAGCTGACAGGTTTGAAAAAGATGATTCTTCATGTTCCTGCAGAAAAACAAAATACCACAGAATAAACAGTAGGATTTTTAAATGTGGATCTGAAGTTAGTTGATTTTTTAATTTTTTTTTATGGATTAATTCTGTCATCGATATTATTCACATTTTGGTTTCTATGGTGATAAAACCAGATGTTTAACGTGAACATGCAGCGACTCTGTACATGTGATGCAGAGGGAGCGGTGTTGATCATGGTCTGAGGGTGCGTTTGTTTCGTGTGTGTGTGATGCAGGATGGGCGTGGCCGTGTGCAGACATCTGCAGCGGGTGGAGCGGGTGGTGCTGGGATACCTGGAGATCAGAGATCCACCTGAGGAGACGGACAGACTGAAGATGCTGGAGGTGCTGCAGAAAACCACCAGAGCAGCCTGGCCCCGGTGTGAACACACACACACACACACACACACACACACACACACACACACACACACACCTGTCACATGATCTAATGTTACTGTGACGCTGCTTCTCATCTTAAATATGAAACACAAACAGTTTTATGTCAGTTTTGACGTCGTAGAAAATGAAACAGACTGAGGTTTTAACCCTTTGGCTGCTGCATGTTGAACCTGTCGGTGTCACATGACGTTGAACACTGAGTCTCTCTCTCCTCAGGATGGAGCGTCGTGTCGACGTGTTGCTGCGCTGCTTGTTGCGGCTGCTGCTCGATGTTTCATCAGACTCTGAGCTCAGCGACTCCGTCAGACTGAAGCTGATGAATGAAACCTCGCTCTGCATCAAACTGCTGGACGGCTGCTCGTACGGAAAACTACAGGTGTGTCAACGACGCTCACCTGTGCTGCTGTCGAGTCTGTCACAGCTGATCAGCACCTGAAAACACTCACCTGTCCCTCTCTCTGTCTCTCTCTGTCCGTCTCTCAGCCTCTCCTTCAGCAGCTCGACAGCAGCTGTTGCAGCCCTGAGGTGCTCGGTTGCCTAGCGACTGTTACTGTGACAGCAGAGAGGTGACGCAGCACACCTTAAACACCTGGAAGTCTGACTTTTTCCTGTCAGATGGATCAGGACAGAGCAGAGGACATGTGATTGGACAGTCGATTCCACAGACATTGATGTTGAGTGTTGGAGACTTTTAATTTGAAAAGTTCAGACCCAAATCATCAGCGTGTAACTCCGTCTCTCATCACTTCCTGTCTGTGTCTCAGCGCATTGGTTCCTACTGAAGACATTAATCTGTAAAACTCCTCACAAATATAAATCTTCATTTTTAATTTCCTCGAACAGCTGATCTCTGTAGTTCCTGTCAGACAAACAGGAGGAAATGGTGTCTTTGTTGGGGACTATTTTCAGTGGAGGATTAATCCACATTCAGTGCTGTAGTGAGCGTTTGTGGCAGGGGGAGGAAGACACATCACAGGACTGTTAGTGGAGACGTTCACTGTTGGTTTGAGTCTGAACATGAGAAGAACTCAGAACATCAGAGACACACAAGTGTGTGACATCATCAACGTGAGACGAGCTTCAACAGGAAGTGTTTAATTCACAGATAAACATTACAAATTTTTACTAAAAGCTTCAAATACAAACTTCAGATTTTTGATCATTTTAAATTCAGCTCCCGGTGTTTTCTTCACACAGACGGTGTGTTCACAGACCGCAGGAATATTCAGTCCTGACATCACACTGACAGTTCATTCATGTTATCTAACAAACAGTTTATCCGCAGGTCACAGTCCAGTAACACCAGTATGTAAAGATGAACTAACTGGTGTCTGACACTGCGATCTGAGCTCAGTGTTCGTTAACAGTCACACAGGTGAAGGATGTTGGTTGTCACGTGAAACTTCACTGTTGGTTTTTAGTCCCAACGACAACCTGTCGTGACGTTTCTCCAGTGGTTCGGCAGAGAATCTGGATCTGAACGGATGGAGCATTTAATGAAGTCTTCAGCTGATCTGTTGTTTGTGGAGTTCATCCTGCTCTCGATCAGCTGATTCATCCAGATGTTCAGGTCACATGATGATTGACTGCTGTGTGAATCTTGAAGCAGCTTCAGCGCAGGTGGAGCTGCAGACACCTGATGAAACACACCTGAGCAACTGTTGATCAGTGTGTGTGTGTGAGCAGAGCGTCCAGCTGGTCCAGTCTGTGTCTCAGTCCCTCGGTCGTCTCCTGGCTCTCCAGTCGTCTCAGGTTCTCCTGCTGGTTCCACAGACGGCAGCGGAGTTGAGCCTCGACAGTCAAACAACACAGCTGTGAGTCACTGGACTGAAGGAGGAGGAGGTCACTAAAGGTCAGACTGCTCCTTTACATCATCATGTTCAATTAAACGTGTTTAACATGTAGAAGGAGACTGGATCAGGTCGTAGGTCACAGGTTGCTTTTAATATTGATATCCTCCTTCCTGCAGAGTTGTCACAATAAAAGTCTTCCAGAAACAGGAGGATAGTGTTTTCGGCTCTGAAAGGCTTTTATTGTGAAACATCAACAGCAATCAAAAACAGAAAAGTTATTGGAAATATTATTGGATAAAAACATTTGTGGTTCATCAGAGAAAAGTGTCTGACTGAAACTAATGATTATTTTCATTATTGAAAATCAAGTAAAATAATTAATTGATTATAAAAGTAGCTGTTGATTAATTTGATCAATTAAACAACTAATTACTGGAGCTGTAGTTTTTCAGACTGGGGAGTGTGACATGAGTTTATCATGACAACAGGGAAACATGGAGGAAGTGTTGAGGCAGATCAGGAACAGGAGGGTTTTTACAACAATATGATCAATTAAAAAACAGATAATTATTAAACAGCAGAAATTACAAATGAGACCTGATGCATTTCACTGAAGATTCACTTTGGATTCATCATCAGCTGCAGCTCTGGTGCAGTGTGTTTGTAATGTAAATGAATAATAAAATATTGTTGCTACCTTCAGTCGATCTTCTTGTTGTTTCAGTTTTTCTCTCTGCAGCTCAGACCTCCACCTCTCCTCCTGAACACACACACAATCGTTTTTTTATTGTATTCGTAAATTTGTATTTTATCTGTTTCTATTTGATTTTATTTATTTTAAAATTATTTTAAAATCTTTGTTGGTTTTTCACGATTTTCATTTCTCATGTTCTGTCAAATTGTTTTACTGTTTTTTTTTTGTTGTGTCTTATGGACGTCAATCATAAAGTTTGATTGATTGATTGATGTGTGTTTATTTCCATCAGGACTCACCTCAGTACTGAAGGCTGATCTCAGACCAGCTGTAGACAGGTAGAAAGACTCATCCTCCTCTGACAACACGTCCCTGCTGTGATCCTCCTGCACACGTGCACACACGCATGCACACACACGCATGCACGCACACACACACTCTGGTTCCTGCTTCTTTTTTGTCACATAGAAACTGAATCTTTGAGTTCACATACTCAATGACTTAATCAATTAATCATGAAAATAATCAGATTAATCTCAAGTTGATTGACTTGAATTATTATAAAAAAAGAACTTGTCGTATATTATTTTTTTTATCACTGATCAGTTGCTTCACCTCCTGTCTCTTGTGTATTTCTTCCTCTTTCACACGAAGCTCCTCATATTTCTTTTGTAGCTCCTCCTCTGTCTGAAGTAGCCCCTCCTCTCTCACCTGTAGGCCCGCCCTCTGCTGTTTTAGCTCCTCCTCCTTGTGGAGCAGCTGTTTCTCTCTCTCCAACACCTCCTCACCTGACCAGAGAAAATCAAACAGGAAGGAGGGTCAGGGCTCATGTTGGACAGAAAGCAGAGAAGCTAAATGAGTCATTGACTTCAACGCTGACTGACGGAGGTGGTTGAGCTGCAGCTGTTGTTCAGTCAGATGGCGCCCCCTGTCCTCCAACTGACACACTGTAGCTTTAACATCGTCCAGCTCATCACACAGCGCCTGAGAGAGAGAGAGAGAGGAGCAGTGAGTGCAGCCTGCAGTTGAGGTGAAATCAACTGCTGTTAATTCATTCTTCTATTCAGCCTTTATTGACACAGGACGCTGCAGACACATCTGTGGACACAGGACAATGACAAGACAAGCTTCTCCTGATTCTGATTCAGCTAACACAGTGTACAGTGATGATGAAAGAACCTGTTTGTGTTGAATCTTCACCTCCAGCTCCTTCAGTCCTTCTGCTTTCTGCTGCTGCTGCTGACTGGACACGCTCAGTTGCTACAGGACACAGTCACACACAGTTCAGAGGACAGGCTGTGTGTGTGTGTGTATGCGTGCGTGCATTTGAGTGTGTGTGTTGTACCTGTTCCAGAGTCTGCAGTTCTTTCTCCCTCTCCTCCACACGTTCACTAAGAAGAGACAGCAGCTCAGCACTCTCTACAACACAAACAGGGAATAATGTTGATGTTTAATATTAACACGATTCATGTGATTCACAGTCATAGTACGTTATATAACTTCATAGTATAGTAAATCACAAAAACGACATATTATAGCAAGATATGAAAACTAATCAAAACGTCATAATATAGTAAGGCATAAAAAGTCAAAAACGTAGTACAGTAAAGCAAAAAGTCAAAAAAACGTCATAGTATAGTAAGCCATAAAAACGACATAGTTTAGTAAGGCAAAAAAGTCATAAAAACGACATAGTACAGTGAGGCAAAAAAAGTTAAAAAAACGTCATAGTATAGTAAGGCAAAAAAAGTCAAAAAAACGTCATAGTATAGTAAGCCATAAAAACGACATAGTTTAGTAAGGCAAAAAAGTCATAAAAACGACATAGTACAGTGAGGCAAAAAAAGTTAAAAAAACGTCATAGTATAGTAAGGCAAAAAAAGTCAAAAAAACGTCATAGTATAGTGAGGAAAAAAAAGTCAAAAAAACATAGTATACTAAGGCATAAAAAGTCCAAAAAATATCATCGTATAGTAAGGAAAAAAAAGTCATAGTGTAGTAAGGCAAAAAAGTCATAAAAACATCATAGTATAGTGAGGCAAAAAAGTCATAAAAACATCATAGTATAGTAAGGCAAAAAAAGTCATAAAAACGTCATAGTAAAGTAAGGCATAAAAAGTCAAAAAAACGTCATAGTGAGGCAAAAAAACTTCATAGTATAGTAAGGCAAAAAAAGTCATAGTATAGTAAGGCAAAAAAAGTCAAAAACGTCATAGTATAGTGAGGCAAAAAAGTCATAAAAACGACATAGTATAGTAAGGCAAAAAAAGTTTTAAAAAAGTCATAGTATAGTAAGGCAAAAAAAGTCAAAAACGTCATAGTATAGTGAGGCAAAAAAAGTCATAAAAACGTCATTGTACAGTGAGGCAAAAAAAACGTCATAGTATAGTAAGTCAAAAAAACGTCATAGTATAGTAAGGCAAAAAAAGTCAAAAACGTCATAGTATAGTGAGG